AAAAAAAAAAAAAAAAAAAAAAAAAATTCCACACACAACAGGGTTGTTAAATTTTTAGGCGAATCTAAGCCTAGACAAATAGATCATAATTTTATAATAAAAACAATTTTGGCCCAACTTGTAAATAATAAAGGATGATTTAATTTGAAAAAATATTCTAGGATTACTCAACTATTCTGAATTTAAAAACTTAAAGTAACTATCATTATTCAGATGATAAGGTAAGGTGGAGAGAAACACAGGTAACCTGTAAGATTAATCTTCTCTAAAAGCAAGCTCACAGAGGAAAAGAGGAGGGAGAGGAAAAGGAAATTCACTGCAGTACTGGTGGCCTCAACCCCTTTATGAAAGCACATGTTCTCATTTGGTGTTACACTATCCTGATTTATAGTGAAGATTTGAAAACCAAAGGAAAAAAGGTCAACTAAAAATATTTAAAGAAAAAAAAATGTGAGAATGAATCAAATGATAAAATAAAATTGTAAAGAAAACAAGAAATAAAAGACATTAAATAACCTTTGTAAAAATTACTAAAATTAAAAAGGATTCATTTTGTACTTTGTGTTCACAAAGGGAAATGAGGCTCCATCAAGCCCTGCAGAGCACAAGAGGAAGCAGGTTGTTTGCTCAGGCATCAGCAGAAATAGGCCCCGAGGAACTACCCTCAGTTTCTTCTACATCGTGTCCAGAAGGAAAAGCAAAGCTCTGCAAAATGCTGAAGGTTTTAGAAGTATAACGGTGCTTAGGAAAGATCACTGGTCTGGTGTTGCAGCAGCCCCAGTGTTGAGAGACACGCTAGGCTTCTAGGAGGAGAAAAACAGAGAGGGAGGAAGAAGTAGGAAGGGGAAGGAAAGGGCGGAAAAGCACAGGTCATTAGTAAACAGCAAGTTCAATATCACAAGGTGCTCATAAACCCAAGCTATTAACGAAGCTGGTTTGCTCTCGAGACTATAGATAACATTCTGAAGGAAACAGAAATGAGAATTTTCAAAATGGCATTGCTCCAGGAAGTGATGGCCAATTAGAATGAGGTCACAACATGCTCCAAAAACATGCACTGCCACCCCTTCCCTCCACTTTACCTCCCCCAATAAAACATGCATATTTTCAGTAAAGTATCTATTTTAATACAGTTAGGTGGTTAAATTCAGAACTCAAACAACCCAGGTGTGCAAACTCTATGCTACCTAAGGGCAGAGAGGTATTCAAGAACAGAAAGACCTACTCTCACAATGCCACTGGGCAGTTCATAAACAGCCAGGTTCTTTTTTGTCACAAGGGAATCTTGAAATAGTGAGGGCCAAGATACAAGTTTTTCCTGTTCTTTTTTTGTACTGTTAAGACCTGGCAGTGGTGAGCACCTGCTACACAGAGTTTGAGTCTCTTCTGGTCAGGCATGACTTCCTACTGGAGAAGAGTCTACTCTAGTTTTGGTAGTTGTTTCCTTCCTGGATGAAAATGGCATCCACTTTTTTTTTTTTTCAGACGCAGTCTCGCTCTGTTGCCAAGCTGGAGTGCAGTGGCGCAATCTCGGCTTACTGCAATCTCTGACTCCCTGGTTCAAGCAGTTCTCCTGCTTCAGCCTCCCAAGTCGCTGGGATTACAGGCACACGCCACCACGCCCAGCTAATTTTTTTTTGTATTTTTAGTAGAGATGGGGTTTCACCATGTTGGCCAGGATGTTTTCAATCTCCTGACCTTGTGATCCGCCCACCTCAGCCTCCCAAATTGCTGGGATTACAGGCGTGAGCCACCACGTCCGGCCGGCATCCACTTTTTCAACTGGCTAATCAGATCAATCCCCTCCAGCCTTTCCTTACCCTGGTTAACTATTTCTTGGTTAAAGAAAGCAGAATATACTCATTATTTTAAAAGTTCATGTTCAAACTTCTTTTCCTTTAATCACGTGGACATTTGCATAAATGTTTTCTTAAAAACCACATCACATAGATGACTGCTTTCAAAGCAGACACAGGAAGTCAATACATCTGACTGAGATTATCAAAGAAATACAAACGTCAGTTCACAAAACTGGAAGATAAAGTGGCACTTCTGGTTGTTTCTAGCTTCTAAAGTAAAGAGTAACTAATTTATTAAGTTGCTAATAAGGATGTTAATATCACTTAGTAAACATTCACAACAAAAGGAACTTAGTCATCAAAAAATCTGATGTATGAAGATATATACAACTTTGCTATGGTCAAAGAATAACAAGTAAATACTAGAACAGCTGCCACTGCTAACAGAAGGCTTTCTAGAAGCCTTAGAAACAGAGAAATCCTGTGTGGCTCACAGAAGGGCTTCTAGCTGAGGTATGCATATGAGAGAAATACAGAAACATGACAAATCTAATAACTGCCTCCACTGCAATAATATGAATCAAATGTTATGGCCCAGTTAAGAGCATACTTGTGGAAACAATGGGATTGATCATTATAAGTCTATGCATTTGGGTCAGCAGTGATGGCCTGATCACAACTGCAAAGTAAATGCAGGTATTTATGAAAATAAAATATACAACTCTCACATCAGCTAATTAAGACAATATTTATATAGTATATCCCTGAGACTCCTGCTACTGCTTTGTGAATTCTGCTCACTACAAAGACATTGGGGTAGGGAGTTGCTGCTGGTTATGAGACAGAAACCCACAGAACCTCAGTGCCAACTGAAAATATCAGAACCCTAGTAGAGCTAACAGTTTAGTTAGAAGTAAATTTCAAAAGCAACAGTTAAGGGAAAGATGAAGGAAACATACTGGGGGCAAAATAAAGAACTCCTAATTTGTTGTTCATGGGCTTCCTAACATTGAACTGTGGAAAGCTAAATGTAACGTGCATTCAGGGAAGAGACCTGCTGCTTCAAAGAGTTGTAGTGGCCAAATGCCTCCCATGTAACATATTTTGGTTATTATTATTCTGTATCTATAAAAGTATTTTAAGGTTGATCCAGCTCTTGTGTGGTACAGCTCCAACAAATATTCAAAAAATATCAGAGGAAACTCATTATTTGCCTTCCATTGTTGGAGATTTTACAAAGCAATGTCCTGGGTTTAAATACATCCAACAAGAACACTCAGAAATAATTCATATGCTTCCATTAATAACACTCTTCAAAGGATATTATCAAGGTATTCACTATAAGTGCATCATCTACACATTTGAGGAATCCTGGGAATCACTTACCTGTAGTATCACTCCCTTCTATTCCATGACCACCATTGGCTAGCAGTGTTGGTTTAGAAGATGGAGTATCTGCAACAGTGACAAATAATTACCCATTGTGACAGACAGAAAAATGAAGAACAGATCCAACTACTGTATATTAATTGAGTTTTTCTTGTTCTTCGTAGCATTAGGTTAAAGCAATTAAAACTGTTCAAAATTTAAAGATTTAATAAAAGAAAACCCAGAAACAGAACAGATCAGAATTATTAATTCCTAGGGCACCCAAGCTCTGTTAAGTACCACTTCCACAGGAGAGCCCTTCATAATAGCAATTCTAAATATTTTTTATTCTGTAAATTGTCAAAGAAAACTATTAAATTCAGTAAAACCATCATGAAGCACCACAGGTTTAGTATCAGCAATTCAAACCAAATGCTCCAAGAACATGAGGCATTTAATTTTATTTTTTGAGATGCAGTTTTGCTCTTGCAGCCCAGGCTGGAATGCAATGGCACAATCTTGGCTCACTGCAACCTCTGCCTCCAGGATTCGAGCAATTCTCCTTCTCAGCCTCCTGAGTAGCTGGGATTACAGACACCTGCCACAAGGCCCAGATAATTTTTGTATTTTTAGTAGAGACGGGATTTCGCCATGTTGGAGGTTGGTCTTAAACTCCTGACCTCAGGTGATCCACCTGCCTCAGCCTCCCAAAGTGCTGGGATAACAGGCATGAGCCACTGTGCCCAGCTGAGGCGATTTATTAACTATTAATTCCCACACAGGAAATCCAGGGTACCATAATTGCTCCTAGATGAGAACTGCATGGAGGTAATCAGCTGCATTTCTGGAAGCAGAGGACTCTTTTTTTTTTTTTTTTAAAGGGAATTAGTTGTATCTCATTCCCTAATGACTAAGGATGTTGAGCCTCTTTTCATGCGTTTCTCTGCCATTCCTTCGTCTTCTTTGGTGATTTGAATGGTCAAAGTTTTTGACTATTTTAAAATTGAATTCTTTATTTTATTATTATTGAGTTTTCAAAATTCTTTATATATTCTGAACATCAGTCCTTTATCAGATAAATTTTGTAAAAATTTTCTTCCTGTTTTTGACTTATACTGTACTATCTTTTCATTTACTTAACTGTCTTAAAAAGAACAAAAGTTTTAAATTTTTATGAAGTAGGTCACATGATTTTTTCCACGTTTTCCGCTAGAAGTCTAATAGTTTTCATATTTACATACATTTGGAGTTAAGTTTTACATATGGTGTAATGATGCAGGTCTAAGTTTCTATTCCTGTACATGGACACCTAATTATTACATAATCATTTGCTGAAAAAGTCATCTGTATTCTTTTTTTTTTTTTTTTTTGAGACAGTCTTGCTCTGTCACCAGGCTGGAGTCCAGCGGCACAATCTCGGCTCACTGTAACCTCTGCCTCCCAGGTTCAAGCAATTCTCCTGCCTCAGTCTCCTGAGTAGCTGGGACTACAGGCACATGCCACCACACCCAGTTAAACTTTTTTGTATTTTTAGTAGAGACAAGGTTTCACCATGTTGGCCAGGCTGGTCTCGAACTCTTGACCTCAGGTGATCTACCCACTTCGGCCTCCCAAAGTGCTGGGATTACAGGCATGAGCCACCAAGTCTGGCCAGAAGTCTTAAATAAGGTAATATGAGTCCTCCAACGTGGGTCTTTTCCAACAATGTTTTTTTTTTCCTTTACTTTTTTGCTTTTTGAGACAGGGTCTCATTCTGTCATTCTGTCACTCAAGCTGGAGTGCAGTAGTGCGATCATGGCTCACTGCAGCCTCGACCTCCCAGACTCAGGTGATCCTCCTGCCTTAGCCTCCCAAGTAGCTGGGACCACAGGTACATGCTACCATGTCTGCCTAATTTTTCATTATTTTTATTTTCTGGAGAAACAAGGTCTCCCTATGTTTCCCATACTGGTTGCACTCCTGGCCTCAAGCAATCCTCCCACCTTGGCCTACCAAAGTGTTGGTATTATAGGCATGAGTCACTGCACCTGGCCTTGTTTTGTTTCTTTGCTTTTCTATATAAATTTTAAAATCAGTTTTTTATTTATGCCAAGATTCTTGATGGGATCTTATTTGAAATTGCATTGACAATACAGATCAATTTGAGGATGTACAACATTTTCTGAAAGTCTCTGACTGTATCTTTTTTTTTTTTTTTTAGACGGAGTTTAGCTCTTGTTACCCAGGCTGGAGTGCAATGGCGCGATCTCGGCTTACCGCAACCTCCGCCTCCTGGGTTCAGGCAATTCTCCTGCCTCAGCCTCCTGAGTAGCTGGGATTACAGGCATGCGCCACCATGCCCAGCTAACTTTTTGTAGTTTTAGTAGAGACGGGGTTTCACCGTGTTGACCAGGATGGTTTCGATCTCTTGACCTCATGATCCACCCGCCTCGGCCTCCCAAAGTGCTGGGATTACAGGCCTAAGCCACCGCGCCCAGCCTGTCTCTGACTATATCTAACATGTTAGCAACCAGCCTAGCTCTGCAGTCACCTTGCTGACCCAAGAATTCAGAGATTATTATTCCTAAGACAACAAGTGAGTATCTACAATAAATGCTACTGAAATACAAAATGCAAGATTTTCCTTTGGAAGATCACAAACATGCTGTCCAACCCCTTGGTCCTTATAAATACAAGGAAGAAATCTTTCACACAAATTTCTCATTGAAAAGATCATTCATTCTGTTACTTCAGATGAACAACAAAAAGAATTACCTAAAAGAACAAGGCAGTCCAAAAAGAGAGTATGATTTAAATAAAAGAAGGAAATAAAGAAATGAAAGACAATAGAATTGTATTAAATACCCACTATGTAACATATACCCTGCTAAGTCTTCAAACTGCATTTTACTTATCCAAAGAGATGCCATAAATATGCTCCATCCCACATTTGGCGTAAATAAATCCCTTCTAAAATTCACACAATAAGCTTTTAAGATTTATTCTTCCTAGCTCATGAAAGAGTGCATATTTTAAAAAAAACTTTCTTCATTAAAACATGCATATTACAAGAAAATGGAAATTAGAAAAACTGATATTCTGCAAGTGGTTTGAGAGCAGTTATCAGTGATAAAACCTGTTTAAAATTTGATAATCAGTGTTGACAAGGGTAATTTCATTTCATCATTTGGAGGAATGTAAATAGGAACAACCTTTTTTTCTCCCCCACTTAGAGATGAGGTTTCACCATGTTGGCCAGGCTGGTCTTGAACTCCTAACCTCAGGTGATCTACCCACCTCAGCCTCCCAAAGTGCTGGGATTACAGGAGTGAGCCACCATGCCCAGCCAGGAACAACCTTTTTATGAGACAATTTGGCAGCCTATCAAATTCTGAAATACTCAACAATCCATTTTAGGTATTTAGTATTTAGTTCACGGAGAGACATAAAAGTATAAAAACGTGAATATAAATAGAATGTTTATTATGACACTGCTTAAAAACAGCAAATGTCCACCAACAGATTCATTATAATATTGTAAAATAGTACACACTAATAAAAAAAATGAGAGCACTTCATGTTACTGATACGGGAAGATAACAGGACACACTAAGAAAAAATAAAAGCGGGCCAGGCATGGTGGCTCACGCCTGTAATCCCAGCACTATGGGAGGTCAAGATTGCTTTAAGACAGTAAGTGAGTATATACAATATATGCTACTGTATATGCTACATATATGGGACATCACTTGCGGGCAGGAGTTCGAAAACGGCCTGACCAACATGACAAAACCCTATCTCTACTAAAAATACAAAAATTAGCTGAGCATGGTGGTGCATGCCTGTAGTCCCAGCTACTTGGGAAGCTGAGGCAGGAGAATTCCTTGAACCCAGGAGGTGGGGGTTGCAATGAGTCAAGATCGCGCCATGGCACTCCACCCTGGGCAAGGAGAGCAAAACTCCATCTCAAAACAAAAAACAAACAAGTCTATAATCCCAGCAATTTGGGAAGCCAAGGCAGGCAGATCACTTGAGGCCAGGAATTCAAGACCAGCCTGGTCAACATACTCATCTGTATCCTTCTTGAAGAAATTCATAGGATTAAGTGAAAATGGAGATTTTTTAAAAAAAAATGTAATACATGTGATCAACTGTGTACTGCCACTAATTGTGATGATAAATTTCCTCTGGACCAAATTGAAAACACAGAATCTTATTGTCACAGGAACTTTAAATATTAAAATTTAAGTTGATATACATAATTAGCAGCAGAAACATGGTAACACAATCAAGAAAAAACTTTCAAGCATAAAAATGTATTACATTAGGATAAAACTCTGAGACATGGTATGGAAATAAGAGTTCAAGGACTCAAAAGAAGAATTTAAATTTCCAATGATAAAGAACAGCTTGTTCATATATTTTTAAACTAGATGATGGAATCAAAATGCTATATATTTAGAAGCATTTGGATATATTTAGCAGAATGATGTAACTTATTTTTATGTGGCAAAAGTAAAACATTCTCAAAATTACGTGTTTTACAATTAAACTTTTGCTACAAAATTTTAGATGTTAATGTACAAAGAGAAAGAATTTCTCAGAATTATCATATAAGTACGTAACCCAAAAGTTTCAAGACCACTACTTTAGACCAAATTAAAAAGAAAGCTTGATATGTAGTGACAGAAAATTTTCTAAGATAATAAAGTAAAAAAGCAAGTTTAAAAACATTCATATGGTTTGATTCCAGTTGTATGAAACTAAAGTCACTAAATTTTTGATTGTATGTTTGTAACAGCATAGAACGAGGTCTTAAAAGATCTACCCTTCTCGAGGAAATAGAATTACAGGAAAACGAAGGGAGTTGTTTTGTTTGAGACGGAGTCTAGCTCTGTTGCCCAGGCTGGAGTGCCGTGGTACAATTTCGGCTCACTGCAACCTCTGTATCCTGGGTTCAACTGATTCTCCTATCTAAACCTCCCGAGTAGCTGGTAGCTGAGGCTACAAGCACGCACCACCACTCCCAGTTAATTTTTATATCTTTAGCAGAGATGGGGCTTTACCATGAATTCCTGGACTCAAGCAATCTACCCGCCTCGGTCTCC